TTTAGGGAGAGAGTTGTTTCCCTCATTTTATGACAAGAGAAAATAGTAGGAATGACGAGGTAGTTGAAATGTTCATTAAGGTTGCTTTATGACTTTTTATCATAACTTGCATGCTACAACTAATTTTATGATCGTCACGTCGAAAGTTAGGTATACTCTACGTATCTTCCAATATCAATCTATTCATATTGAAAAATGCCACTTGCGTGAAAGAGAATTTTTAACTCGATAAAGAATCAAACAATAGAATTTCCTTATATAAATTCATATTGAAATATGCCAAAACTTCGCGTTTGCAAATTAGAGGTATCTATACGGAAGATTTGCTAAAGATTTGCATTCTCTTATTCTAATATTTGGTGGATCTCTTATCTTTAGTTAAGATTTACTTTTTCTTTTTAGTTAGCATAATATTTGATATATCTTTTATAATTAGTTAGAAATATTTTATAGTTATTTTCTTTTCCTTGATGTTAAGCAATCATTTGTATAAATATTTGTTTTGTACGATGAACAATACAAGCAAGCAATTACATTTTCTCATGGTATGAGAGTAGAGGATTTAAAACACGCCATACAATTCGGCGTGATTGACTCTTCCTCACCTTATTATCTCGACACTTCCGACAATCCCGATAGTTTCATGTGTATTGACTTGGGATAACTATGCAACATGGTAGAAGGCAACGACGCGGGCATGGCGAAAAGCAAACTCAAGTTTATCGATGTAACGACCCAGTCCGACGAGAGCAGGGAGTGGTCGCCGGGGTTCGAGGACCTGGACAAGGAGCGGCTTCTGGCAGGCTTCTAGGATGGCAAGGGGGCATGTCTCCTGTCCCACATCGCCTAGGGAGGGAGCATTGGGCTTGCTTATAAAGGCTTGGAAAACCTTAACTTGCAAGAGGCCTTTTTTTGGTGTAGTATGGGCTGCCCTCGGAGGAACAAAACCGTGAGGACTTAGTGTCCAAAGCGAACAATATCTTGCGAGTGGGACGTTGCTAGAGATGCCAGATCTGACAGCACCCGATTTTAATGCTAATGCTTGGATTGTAAGGAGGACTCTCTATGGTGGAATATTACGCCAAATTGAAGGTCTTACGAGATGAACTCGGTGACTATGATGACATCTCATAATGCACTTGTGCAGCATACACAAAGTACGCAAAGAAGAAGGAGGTGGAGAAGATCCACCAATTTCTTATAGGCCTCGATGTTGAAACCTATGGGGATGTTTGTTCCCAAATTCTCAACCTCGAGCCACTTCCGTCCCTCATCACACAGGAGGAGCGTCAACAATCAATTGTCTGGCGGAGGGAAGAGAAGATTGAGGATGTTGCTTTCACAATTAGAAGAGGAGACCCTAAGAAAATACCGTCCAAGAAACATAAATGTGACCACTGTGCGAGTTTTTGCAACGAGTTAATTGGAAGACGAGGCAAAGTGGAAAGGCACACAAAGGGAATGCTCCCGCGGCATACACTTCGCACAGACTAGCAGTGGCAGTTCCGGCATTGTTACAGATAGCAATGAAACCGGCCACTTTTAATGAACAACTCTCGGGTAAGCTCGATTGACCCAATGATATTTCCACAAATTGGATTATCGATACTGGAGCCTCCAAACAAGTGCAGGCAGATTTTACTTCTAAATTAACTGAGGAACCTCACTGGGGCATATCCTATACGAACTCCATATGGAAAAGTGGCTTACCCTACCAAAAGAAGTGTTGCTTATTTAAGCCCTGACTTTATTTTGCACGATTTGATATATGTGTAAACTTTAAAAGTGCAACCTTATTTTTATCAGAAAGTTGAGTTCGAATTTGCAATGCTCGGTAACGTTCTTCTCTTCTCGATGAGTCGTATAGATACCTAGCCTCGAAGAGATCAATTGGAGTCGGTAATCTTCAAGAAGGGGTTTATTTTCTTGGATGCTTGGACACTCATTCGGCTTTTTCAAGTAGTCAAGGGACAAAAGATTGATATATTGCATCAATGACTGGGGCACCCATCACAACAAGCTCTGAATTTAATCACTAATATTGAGATAAATAAAGAAGGGGTTGATTTGTGTAATTTATTTTGTTGTGCAAAACAAACTCGTTCTTCATTTTCTTTAAGTTGAAGAGCAATCCAGCGAGCAGACAGTGTCTCTATCGGGTGTATATTATTTTTAACTATTGTTGATGATTATAGTCGAGCAGTTTAGGTCTCTTTGATAAAGGAAAAATTGGAGACGTACAAAGTCTTCGTGAATTTTTAACATATGATAAAAATCCAATTTGATCGAGTAGTTAGAATCCTTAGGAGTGATAATGGCTGTGAATTTATTTCTAATTCCATGAAGGATTATTTTTCCTTCAAAAAGTGGAGTCATGCATCAAACCTCATGTACCTACACTCCACAACAAAATGGGTGGGTTAAAAGAAAACATCGACATATTCTCAATGTAGCACAAGCACTTCGTTTTCAAGCGAATTTACAAATTCGATGTTTGGGGGAATGCATTTTAACCTCTGCTTTATAATCAATTATGGTTTGACTATGTTACTATCTGGGAAAAAACCTTTTTGAGCTTTTGTTTGGGAAAACTCGGATTATAGTCATTTGCGAGTTCTCCCCGCATTGTTCTATGCTCACAAATCGTTAAAGGGAAAAGGTAAATTTGAAAAAAGGGCAATAAAATGTATATTTTTGAGATATCCGTACGGCACGAAGGGCCTAATATCCATATGGTTTTGATCAATCATGAAAGATTACTCGTTCATGTATTCTCATTGCGGTATTTTTCTAGCCATGTTAGTATATGTTGATGATCTCATCTTGGTAGGAAATAATTCAAAATAGTACGCATCGCTCAAACGGTACATGGATGAGTGTTTTGACATGAAGAACCTTAGCCAATTAATGTATTTTTTTGGGAATTGAAGTGACGAGGACGACTTCAATGTTACTTCTATGACAAAGAAAGTATGTATTTGACATCCTTGCGGCATGCTAGTAGCTAAACCAGCGACTTTTCCAATGGAGCAACAACACCTGTTATCCACAAGAAATGGACCTGCTGTGACAGACCTAAGTCGCTATCATTGACTAGTGGGATGTCTACTTTATCTCATTATCACTTGGCCTCAATTATGCTCCTATCACATACTTTTTATCTCACTATCACTTGGCCTCAATTATGTTATTATGTAACATACTTTCCTAGTTTATGTAAGAACCAAAGGAGCAGCAGTAGGAAGCCACTATACGAGTTTTTCAATATCTTAACAAAAATCCAAGACAAGGCATTTTGTTATTAGTCCCGACTTTACCTCACTTAACCGCCTTTTGTAACTTCGATTAGGCAAGTTGCCCAATCACTAGGCGATCAATCACTGGCTACTTTGCTATGCCCAGCGGTTGTCCCGTGTCTTGGAAAATTGAGAAGTAGACCACAATTTCTCAGTCATCTACTAAAGCTAAATATCGTGTTATGGCAACTACCACTAGTGAACTAATCGGGTTGCGCATTTTACCTGCCTCCCTTGGGGTATTGCAAGACAAACGATGGAACTTTATTGCGACAACCAAGCTGCCTTACACATCGCGACAAACCCAATATTTCACGAATGAACAAAACACATCAAGATTGACTGCCACTTTATTCGTGAACATGTACAGTTGGGCGCCATTAGAACTGAGCACTTACCCACTAGATTTCAATTGGCAGACATTTTTACCTACACTTTAGGTCGAGTTCAATTTACATTTCTCATCAGCAAGTTGAGCATTCGTGGCCTCCATGCACCAACTTGAGGGGGAGTATTATAGAAGATTTGCTACGGATTAAATTCTGTTTTTACCCAATTATTTTCTGTATCTCTTATCATTAGTTAAGTTTTACTTTTTATTTTTAATTAGCATAACATTTGGTATATCTTTTGTAATTAGTTAGAGATGTTTGGTAGTACCTTGTATAAATATTTGTGCTGTACAATTAACAATAGAGCAAGCAATTGCGATTTTCTCAACATCCTACCAAAAAGGAACAATTTCTACTCAAATGCGTAAGGGAGGGCGTATAACCAGTAAGACACAAGAATGGATAATCGGTCCAACCGAAATAAACCCAGTGATTTATCTATCCAGTCCCATCTAATTTTCCAAGAAATTTATGAACTTTCCATTGAGAAACAAGGAAGGGCATAAGAGTTCATTGAATGATGGAGGGACAAGGAAAAGGAACTCAAGACTTTCTTGTATTTAATGCAGCCTGTGCTCGGGGTTTTAAGGAGGGAATCTGCAAAGGGGATCGCACGAGTCTGCAGGATAAGACCAGAGAAGATCACTGCTCAGCCTGAAATCTGGAGGACCAGATCAAAGTAATACTTACTCAGTCATGACCATTGTCACGTTCCAGCTAAAAAGGTTCAAAAACCGAAAGAAGACAAGGACTGCATAAAGCAAGCACATGAGAGAGACAGAGAGCGAGGAAAATATGGTGGACAGCTTTGCTTGATATCTGCAAAAGAACGGAATCAGAAAGGCTTCTGAACAAAGATTCTCACATTAACATAAGACTTCTCTCACCAAGTACCGACAAAGACATAAAGCCGCAGAAACAGAAGAAAAACAAAGATTCATGTCACCTTCTTTTTCTCATCACTTATCAAGTTCACACCGTAATAAAAATCATTTGAAAAGAGAGCTAGTGTTAGCCGCGGTGACCAAGAAAAGGACACAGCAAAGAATGGATGTACAGTTGCTATGGCCGAGGAACAGGTTCCAACCCTAGGATGGAACAGAACGGGTCATATCTCCTTGCATTTTTCCGCTCCCATACAAAACGCCGCAACACACAAACTTGAAAGGGTATAATGTCGTCAAGCTAGATTTACTCTTTTTATGATCCGATGGGTCATATCCCGGGAGTGGGGGATCCATTCCTCAAGGATCCTTAGAGACACCCTCAAGCTCCATGCCCAAAAAGACCAACCTCTTAAAAGGCAGAGAGATTATGCACATCACATGGGCAATTTCATTAAATAAAAAATTGGGGAATTGGATGTGTTCTTTTTTCTTTTTCAGTATGACAAAACTCCTAACCCCTCTCAATTTTTTCACATCTATTCAACAGCAGAAAGAGGGGTGTCCAAAAAGAATATATTAGGCTATGCTCACACAAAAGACCAATTCACGAAAGAGAAAGCGAGGCAATGGACGGTGTTCTCCTCTGCAGAAAGGACCTTCCAAGCGATCGCTTGTTCATACGAGACATGTCGCCCCATCGTCGACATGCAAATTCCAGAGGGCATGTATGCAAACCCCTGAGATGAAATTCCGAGTAAATTAGCCGTTTTCGGGCATCCCGAATGCTTATCGTCATGTAGCATAAAGAATGACGGAAGTACCTCTTGCATTAACTTAGTGAACTCGGGGCACAATTCTTTACGAACTGACTCGTCAAATATCTTATCCAAAGTGATATCTTGTAGAGCCACCAAAGTGGTCTCTAACATGTCAAGTCCTGCCTGGTTTGCAAAGACGAAAACTGGAATAGACTGCCAAACCAAAAGGAAGACCGTCATTAATCATTCCTAATTACATGGCAAAATTCACTTTTAACAATTTCGAGTAATACAAATAACAGATATTCGATACCTTCAATGAACAACACAATATGGCATCCTGATGATTCCAAAGATTCTTCAAAGAATCGGCGCCAAGTGAATCAGATCCCAGCAACTCTGTTCCTAGATAGAAGCTGCCAGAGAACAAAATCCTATCAGTTAGAAACAGATAACAATTGAGTGTCTCATGTTCTATACTTTCTAATAAAGGTAAGTCAGCTATTATGACAGTCCACTGATCTCTCTATTCCTCTAGAATGCACGTGCGTGCGTGAACAAGGGAGAGAGATAGCCGAGCATCAGCTTGATGAGTGGCAGATCACAACAAAAACAGAGTGAGATGCACCAAAAGAAGACCAATTGGATCAAATGATCAGAACATGCCTGTAGCTCTGGCAGATCCAGTTAGCAAGTGTTAGAGCTTCTGGAGATCCCTGTGAAAGCTTAGGGTTAATGGAAGGGCCCAATCCCGATGGAGATATGACCATGGCAACCCGCTGCACGGACGAAATAACACTACGGACATACTGCCTTGCCATGGTCACCACGTTATCCTGCATGTTGGCATCAAATGGGAACTGGAAGGCGATAGTCAGAACGGATCGTGCACCATGGCTCGGCGAAACATCTCCAACGCAATTTGTTGATGTAGGCCCCACCTCGAAACTTGATGTCAGATCAAGGGTCCGATTTGTTGTTAGAGAATCCTGTACATCAGACTGCACAACAATGAAAATATAACATTAGTGCCTGTTAGGATAATTCACAGCTGATTTAGCATTAACATGCCTTTAGAGGTTTTCATTAGACATGAGCAAAACTGAGAAACTTCAGTAGAACTCATGTTAACTCAACTGATTTTGAATCAAGCGGTATGATACGGAAACCAGAGGGTAGCAATGGAGCATCATCAGGAAACATTTCATCAATTGGTGCAAAAATAAGTTCAGCACAGACTCCAGCTGCATTCTCGTCTATCCCGCTGCAGATCTGCCCAAAATAGGTGAAATAAGAGGACAATAAGGCTCTTGTTAAATAACTTCCGATAAACAACACCAACTTCTGATGTATTTCTCTTGGGGGTTTAAGGCCTCCTATGGCCTATAGGTATCTTTTAACTAAAAGAAATGGGAATGATAAAACTATGATCACATAATCGACATCAGACTGAGAAGAGCACCTGCAAAAGATGAATATCTCTTGATACAAAAGCATCATCTTGAGCAAGAGAATGGCCTTCAAGACGGATAACTTCAAGCATCTGCGTCAGAAAATGAAAGTTAGAAGTATCCCATAATTAGCAAGAAATTGAGTTTTCACCATGCTCCTTTTAGACTGTCTTGAGTATTTCACCATGCACTTCTTGCATTATGTGCTCTTCTAGACTAAACCAATATTATATATCTCAATTGCTTCATTAGAACTTGATAGCTTCAGGAATAGCCCTCAAGTATATGTAAGTTACTTGATGAAGTTTCCAACTACGAGAAGCTTGTACAAGCACTATTTCAGTCTTGTAGCCGGTATTATGAACGTCTTATCCAGCCTAATAAGTACCTCTTCCTGCTCAATTGTGTGACCAAGGGGCATGATGATTTGACTCCCGGTAAATCTTGTGGGCCTCATACCAGGATAGCCAAATGGACAAGCTTTTAATGATGCGGCAGAATAAGCATCCACATTGAAATCAGCCCATTCTGAGCGGTGCTCCCTCAGAAACCGGACCAACACGGCAGGGGGGACATTCTGGCAGGCAAAAATACTCATCAGTGAAATGCCTTCTAGTGAAGTTAAAAGTTGAAAATATGCAATAGATTCGTAGAAAGTAAAATAGTTCCTCGATACTTCGATCCTCAATATCGGGAGATGGGCAAAGCCCATTGAGGATCATAATTAATGACACTCCAACAGATAAAATACGCTAGCAATATAGTGCTGTGCCTAGTCAAAGAAAACAGAGGAGCCCCATACTGAAAATGACAACTCTCATGCATGACTAATAACCAAAGGAAAGGGAAGAAAATGTTCAGACATCCTTGTGAACGCATCAAGGAGAAAAAGAAGACCGAAGATAGCGATTGAACTAAACAAAGCTCTCGATCAGTACAACTACACAAGGCTAAATATCCTAGTCAATCTATCTAATTCAGAAGTTTTAACTTTCCATCTTACGGACTGAACGTATATGTGACAATTTTTTAAACCAATGAAGTCCAAACTTATGTCGCGCATAAAAATAAAGTATAGATCGAGATACGAATGCTACATGCTTCAATGTCAGTAAATCAAACTTACTTGGAGTAACATGGAAGCTTTGGCACATAGAATTCCTCCCACAAATGAAAGGGGATTAGCAGGATTTGATGTAGTGCTCAATTTTTTAGAGAAATTAACGGCAATTATGACATCTTCGGCACCGTCACCATTCATCAATGACCACCCAACGTCATTGAATCCATTTAGCGCATCATTAAAACCTCTAAAACAGATAGACAATAAAAGGAAATATTAACAAAGTGTCCCACGCATTATGATCATTACAGAGCTATATAAATTATTAGTAGTGGATGGGTGAGGAAATAACGAAATAAAATATATAGGCAACCAGCCTGAGGATCCAATAAACAAAGTTGCACAAGAAAGCCACCTGTTCAATCTTTGGCTGAAAGTTCTCAAAACTGCCGGCTGCCTTCCCAAACCATAAACCACCTCCCCACTCGTCTCCTGAGCTATTTGCCGGATGTATCGAAGAGCCTTGACAGAAATAAATAATGTATAAATGACCATCTAACATTCTTAATCCCCAATTCTCCACCACCATGCCTCTCCCAAATCATTCCAAAACCATAAATTTTCATTCATAATTAAGTTGGTGACATCTGGCAACAGACCACACTTACTGCAATAGTAATTCTCTGGGCCACAACTTTGGATGATTCATAAAGTGGTCGAAGAACCTCAGGAACACTCCAAGCCTGCAATTAGATGCAAAAATAAAAATTTCGTTTCTTGAGTAGAATGGCAAAACTCATTACTGAGAAACTACGGACCTCGAGATTGAGGTGGTCAACAATGTGTATGATTGATCCTCCACCCTCACATGGGCGGATCAAATAGCCACTAGGAAGCATTTCACCTCTCACAAATTGGGCTGCTGCAGCAGGGTTAGGGCCAGCACCAGATCCAGACAGAGATCTCTCACATACCTTGGAACAAAAATAACAAAGGAATAAGAAGATTAAGAAATAAACCAAACACGAACAAAGAAAACAAAGCAGCAACCAGGCAGTGTTACCACAAGACTGCCATTTTCTAGAGTTGTGGTATATCTGAGAGTCCATAAATCCCGTGCAGGAGCCAGAGTAGTTGGAGCATATATCTAGTGCAGTTTAACAAACAATAAATCGTCACTATAGCCAGGAAAAATCAGAAAAACCCGCCATAATCAACTAAATGCATCAGCCAGATTTTTAACCTGCGTGTAAACAAGTTCGATGGTTCCACCATTTCCGGCAGGAACCATGGTGAAGACTTCAAGGCTCCGACAGTCCCGGAACCACGAAGGACGATCCTTGAGGATCTCGACAATCTGCATTTAAAGATATTTGAGATTGAGTTAATGAAAAGCTAGCCACTCTGATCTTTCTTAACACCTAACAAAAAAGAACCACCCAAAAGTTCTCATGATGCAATCCATGACTTACCTTGGTTGGTTCTAAACTAACAAGACCACAGGCTCGAGCAGCCACTCCACTGCAACTTTGTGAAATGGCGAAGATGCCAACCGAATCCGGACCAGGCTGAAACATCAATTGATGAATTGTATTAGATGTGCTTAAGAGTTATGGGAACAACATTTCATCCCTACACAAAACAAGAGAGAGTAGAGGCGAAAGGAAATCAAGCTTTCTGATAGGCAATGGCAACCTTCATCCCAGGCATTTGAACCCAATCGACAGCAGTTCCTGTAGCCTTGGAGAGGAACTCCGCCAATGTCTCCTCCGCAATGGAGAGGAGCCTGTCGAGAAAATGTTAAATTTTAGGTCTAAAATCGCGTATTCAGAGATACAGAAGTAGCCATGTCCACTATTCGTTTGGGATTTACCCAGCAGGGTTATTTGCATCTCTGAGAGAGTGCTGAGGAGTGGTAACCACAGAGTCACAGCTTGCATCGGTAGTAGTTGCCGATGTCTGCAAATAAATCCAAACACATATTGCAATAACAGTGTCAAATTGTGAAAAGGAAAAACTAAAATAGTCTCTTCAGCAAGGAAAGAAGCAAATCAAACCGAAATGGGTGTTCTGAGACCAAAACATCTTTCTCTAGCTACATCTGTTACTCGAAGGGAGAAAAAAAATAACACTCTCCGCGATCATACAATGATTAGCACTGGCAGGGCAAAACTAAACGCAAAACCCTCGAGATTTGATTCCAATTTAAGCGCCTTTTTTTCCAGAGATATCATATAATACAGAGGAATTATCTCTAGGGCAGGCTATTTTTAGTGTTCAAGATCTCGTTTCTCTAACTTCACCGTGATCTTCGATTCAACAAAGGAGACCGAGTACATAGCAAGCACGAAGAAGTCAGAACGTACAGTTTGGAGTTGCTGACGCATGTAGCCATTTTCGCATACCAATTGCGAAACCTGCTTCTGCAGCCGATCATTCTCCTCCATCAAGAGCTTGTTCATGGCGGTCAGTTTCCTATTCACTGTCTGGAGTCTCGAGGCCTCTTTCCTCTGCTTCTCTCGACACCTGCATAGGCCAAACAACATTTTTTATCGTAAAATTACCAAGGACAGCATGTTTAGGCTACGTACATAAACCGCGGGGCTTACAAGACAGAATTTTTTGCACAACCCAATAGACTAGTTTGAATGAACTTTCTTCGTCACGCATATAAACTCGTGCGTTACCTGCGATTCTGAAACCAGACTTTGATCTGCTTAGGCTCGATGTTGGACAAAATGGGGCACTCCCGAATCAGCTGCTGTCTGCGCAAAGAGCTGGGCTTAGGGCATTCTGCATAGACCCTCTCGAGAGCTTCCACTTGCTCCGCCGTGTACCTCACGTACTTGCCCGAGTCGGTCAAGTGCTTGTTGATGCTTCCACTGCTACTCTCTCTGTGAGGCACCATCGTCATCGCCATTTCTTTCTCCCTCGACCAAATCCAAGCTTTGAAGAAGCTCTGTCTACTGGAGTTAAGCTCAAGACTACTCTCCGTTGAAGCCGGCTTCTGAAAGCCCGTCCCTTTGCGAAAGAAAGCTTGTTTGGACTCTTCCTTCTTCTGAATTTTCTCTTTCTTTTTTTTTTGGTCTTATGTAAAAAAGGCTTGTGGAAGAAGGGTTCTAAAAAGAGAACCAAGATATGGGTCGGAGCAGGGCGAGGTTTCGGCTGTGTTCAGACAACACAAACGCTTTGTGTTGGTTCTTTTTCTTTCCGTATTTCTACAGACTGCCGTTACGGGCAGAGAGAGCTGCGAAAACCCACTGTCCCTCTTGAGAGAATTTCTTGCTGTAAATGGCCAAAAGATCCAAGACCCTTTTTTACCGAGATTTCAAGGTTTTTTAACTTTTCGGTTCTTTTCCCTTCTCTATCCTCTTTCTTGAACTCACAAACTCCGCTCTTTTCTTGCCAAGACAAGCAAACAAAGCCAGCTCCTCCTCCTCCTCCTCAACCTAAGATACTAACCAGCTTAAAAACCCCAGAGCCAGCAGCTTCACATCTAAAAGAAGCAAGGAAGGACGACAGTAGACACGCCAAAAAGAGGAAAAAGAGAAAAGAAAAACAAGAAAGAACTAAGCCAGCTTATTTCCACAGAGATCTCTCCTTTCAAATCCAAACCAACATAGAGAAGAAGAAGAAGAAAGCGCGGCTCCTGTTTCAGAAAGAAAGGAGCCCGGCGTTTCAAAGCAGCTCAAGGAGTGAGGAGGGTAATGTCATGCAAGGCGAGGAAGAAGAAGGAGGAGGAGCAGCAGGAGAACGGAGAGGCCCACTCATGGCTCGAGGAGGGTCAAGGAGGGCAGGAGAAACGAGAAGATTTGTGCGAAAATTCAGGGATTTTGAACGGGCGGATGTCCTCCTGATGAACAACAGATAGAGAGAGAGAGTTATGTGAGACCGAGCTGAAACAGTGCTCTTGCTGTTGGGCCTGTGAGGGAGGGAGAGAGAGAGCGTGCGTTTGGTTGTGTCAATGCAGCAGGAGAAAGAGGGGGGAGAGGAAAAAGAAAAGGAGGAAAAGAGGAGAGAGAGAGAGAGAGAGACGCGCACACACGAGATCATTTCCGCGCAAGACGACAAGAGGGTCAAGTCAGGGGCAACTGAGTTTTTTTTTTCTTTATTGCTGGGAGGGGGGGGGTGTGTGCATTTACGATTGAAGCCATCAACTTTTGCTGAAATGACATCTCAGGCCACCACTTGCCCACTGTCTATATCATCCCTCTCTTTTACCCTTTTTTTATATCTTGCAGACTACCCACTGCATCTACACAGACTCCCCCCAACCCCCCAGTATTTTTGCCATTTCCCTTTTTTTTTTTTTTTAGACATGAATTAGGATCGACAATAAATATGTTTTTTCGATTATTTCGAGCGATACGGACGATCGAATTTCATAAAAGTGTTATTCGCATGGCTCACTTTTCGCGAGACAAACGGATGTATTACCGTTGCTCTTTTTTTTTTTTTTAAGGAACCTATGTCTCTAAATGGTGATCCCTCCTCGCAAAATGTGGTGTCCTCGAGGATTCTCGCTATAGATCATTATAATGACTCGAGAAAATATCGATTTCGCGAGATGAAAAGAACTTTTCCAATGCATGCATTACATATTGACATTACATCGCAATGACATATTTTATACGTTTTCATGTTCAACTCAAATCTAGGATATGACGTCATGTCTCGCTGTAATGACCAAGTCCAATAAGGGCGGGGAGTGGTTGTGGAGGGCAGATGGTCTGAATAAGGATGGGTCGCATGATTCTAGGATGAAGAAGGGGCGGGAATAAACCAAATTATGCACCGAACAAGAGAAAAACGATTTTGAGATATATATATATATATACACATTTAAAAATTGGAATTGACTCACGGAGGCGCTTTTTAACATAATAACAATGTTTAGCTTTGAAACTCCAAAGTTAAAGCATGCTCGAGTGGGAGTATTACCAAGGTGAGTGACCTCTTGAGAAGGTGCCCACTTGTACGATAAAAGGACAAAACCATGAGATTTGGTATGGGACCGGTCAAATCGGATAATACTAAATAAGTTAATCTAGAGGCGTCACAGTATGGTATTAAAGCATGACCTCCTCTAGTAGATGTGTGATTCGGGAATGAACCATGCAGAAGGCGACAGGCCCACAACGATCCAGTCTGATAAAGGCGGGGAGTGGTCGCTGAGGCTAAAGGGCCTAGATAAAAAGTGGATCATAATAGGCTTCTAAAATGGCAAAGGGGACAGAAATAGACCTAATTATGCACCAAATAAAGGGAAGAGTAATTTTAAAATATATATGTGAAAATTTGAATCAAATCATGAAAGTGCATTTTGATGTAACGATAATGCTTAGGTTTGGAATACAAAGTTAACCGTACTCAAGTGGAAGCACTACCAAGATGGATAACCTCTTATGAAGGTGCCCACCTATATGCCAAAAGACAAAATAGTGAGATTCAGCATAGGACGAGCTAAAGCGAATAATACATTAATGAGTTAATCAAAGGGGTTACATTCGACACTTCTTTTATCTAGAGTCCTGTGGCAGTAAAATGCCATGGAAATATTTAGTTGGTGAGGGGGAATGATGTCGTGACTCGACCAAAACTTAACGACCACAATTTATCTTAATTAGCCTGAGCATAAGGTACTAAATCAAAATGAGATGGCCCGACCTAGTCAAAGAATCGACACTAAAGTTCACTTCTCTTCGTTCAACGGATCTATCCTTTTCTTTTATTTTCTCGAGACATTTGATTTGAGGAAAATAGTTGTAGCAAAAGAAAAAATTGAAAAAAGGTCACGAGAATCCCAAATTATGCCTGCTCTGACACATTTATCTTGAACTTTTGGAACACAAAAAATCTCAAACTATGTCCATTGTGACACATGGGACATAAAAAAAACTCAAAATCATGTCCACTGCGACACATTTACCCTAAACTTTTTTTGTGACGTAAAAAATCCCAAACCTATACCCACGCCACATAAAAATCTATGCCATGCCATGACCAACTGATTGACCATCATCAAGAAATGGCTTTTGAGGAAGCCCCTCCATAAACAAACAAAAAAAAAATAATAATAATTAAACATATGAATAATCAACCGAACGAGGAGAATATTCTTCTTAAAAGAGGGATAAAAAAATAGAGGAAAAAACATAAAAAAAGAAGAAGAAGGAGAAAGGATGGCGGTCTCGAGATTCTCAAAACACAAAGCAAGGACAGCTTATAAAAACTCCATGGAGAGGGAGGGGGGGACCAATTGTCCTTGGGCTTTGGCTTTCCTTACGGGGGCGGTTTCTTAATTCCGGACCAATTATCTTATTTATTACCGGTCACGTATAAACCCCTAAAAAAAAAAATAAAGAAAGAAAAAGAAAAAGGGGGAATGTGCCTAGATCAAAAGTATACACGCGCATCTCCCCTGTGTCTCTTCCGGCGCCGTCCGTCGGTCGGTCGGCGCACGGCCGCCTTGGCCGGTGGTGCTCGACTCGTCGTCATCTGCATGCACATCGCCTCACGCCTTTTTTTCTTCGTTGTTCTACCAACCTTCCTTTTTGCATCGGTGAAATGCCTTTTTTATTTTTTATCGTGAATTGAGTGAAAAAGTGACGCAATGAGTTCAAGATAAGATATGTGTTGAATTTCTATTCGCACGGTGTAGTAATCAATATAATTAATCGAACTATATTTTTTTGTCAAGCATGGTTAATTAGCGCATCGCACGACTTCTTTTCCCCCTCTAATCCCCTCAATTTACGGTTTTTCCACATGTGGATCGAGCAACCCGTCTCATCTTCGTGTACCGAAGCATGAACCTATTGCGAACTGCCTTATTTAAAACACCGGAGTCCTCGTGAGTGCTGGGGTCTCGAGCCAAGAACCACGCAAGGCATGCGGCATCCTACGTTACGGGTAGCCTTGTCGGAATCTTACGAACGATTTTCTCGTGATGGTTCGAAAAGCAAGTCTTTTGATGTAGTGCACTGACCGTTTCGCAAAACACTCGCTTCCCACGCTTTCCAGCGGCGGAAATGGCTCGAGTTTGTTCCATGCAGTTCGAGTCTAGAAGGCAATACTTCGGACGGTTATAATTTGTTTATCACTATTTATATATATTACTCTTCTATGGTAATCATTTTGTCAAGGTCGGATCCTCATAAAATGAGAATATCTATATCTATAACTAGTCTTGCCAGCATAACAGTATTTGGATCGCTATGAGAGTAACTGCATGTTGCAAGCTATAAATTCTCTAAGGAATGAACTCCATGGTGATTTATAATAATTCATTATTTATTTTTTCGTGATCCGAAATATATCGTTGATTTCATGTACATTAAGGACCGTCGCTGTGTCAATTTTTGGATAATTGAGTAGGCAATTTTCATCAACTTTTTTTCCCCCCCGAGGGCACGGTTTTCCTTCCGTTCTGACCGTGACTGTCCATATTTTTTTTTTTTGGTCAGAAATGACTGTCCATATTCGACCGGCCAAAGAATGTCGAATTTTCTTCTTTTTGTTTTCTGTCGATAAAGAATGTCGGATTAGCTGCCAAAGACAGTGACGAAATCTCCAACAAAAGGAAATAAATAAATAAAAATAAGGAAATAAAATAAAATAAAATCGATGACAAAATCCACAAATCGAATCGCCATTTTCACCCTGCTTTTGGCATGCGCTAAAAGCAAAGCAGGCTCGCATGCTCCCCACGAATTGCAGCACAGTAAAAGCAATCCGCCCCTTCTCCTTCCTTATTTTTTTTTTTTAATTACTTTACTCCAATTCCAATTATCCCTTTTTTGTTTTCGTCTTTTTCCCACTTAAAGAATTGGGTCCAAGCAAATTCATTTTGGAAGCAAACCCAGAAAAAGAAAATAATTTTTTTTTAAAATTTAATTTAATAAAAAGAGAGAAAAAGGGGTGCAGCACTGAGATTCTGCATTGCATCACAAGCAACAGAGAAGGGAAAAAGATCAATATTATTTATTTATTTTTGGCCGATCAAGTTAAAATTAATCTTTTTGGTCCAATGATTGTGCGTTTTCTATGCGGGACGCCGTGACAATATTAAAAACCTCGGAATCGGAAAAGGCTGTGCTTTGCATGGATTCCGCCTCACCGGATTAACGGGTTTCCACTACCCAAAAGGACGATGCAAAATTAGTTTTAATATGACCTCTCATGTTTAGCCGAGGAGCAACTTTCACGGAAAAGCTAAAGGCAAAAGAGAGAAGTGGCACCGGTCAACATCCTCATCAATTGACCCGTCTAAATAGATAATGACGACGGTGATGATGATAACGCGACATGCCGCGCTCGCCGGATCGGGGGCGAATCCTCCGTGCCGGAACGCCGCGCCGCGAGATCTTCGCGGGTCGCCGGGGGGCCACGGCGGGCGCGGGCGCGAGCGCGACTCGGGGGCCGATCGATCGCTCGGAGGCGGGGTGGAAGGGGTCCTCTCTCCCCCCCCCCTCCCCCCACTACCTCGCCTTTCGCCGTGGGGCGGAACGATCATGTTTCGCAACTAACCACTCCAACAACTGAGTTGGTGAAAAATTTATATCGAAACAAGGCCAACGCCACGCATAAGATTCGAGTGAGTTCGCCACAATTTTTTTTTGTTACCTTTCTCCCTCAAGTGGGTCAACTTATCTTCGAAAATGAGAAGGAAAGAACACGAGAGGTAGTGGGGGGTGGGTGGGGAAAAAGCAGGGGGGGAGGGGGGTGAAATTAGAGAAAACGACGGCGATGGTGAACGAGGTTAATGCGAAGAAAAAATTGCAGTGAAAGGTCCAAAAAACGGGACAATGAATGGGGCATGATGAGGGGGAGGGGGAATAGGAAAGTCAAAATGGGTACAAATTTTCCCCTCTCTCTTTTGGAAACTTTAAGGGGGGAGGGGGAGGGTTGATGGGGATCAACATCCTTCCACTTTGTCTCCCTCTCTCCTCCTCTTTTGTTCTCTTTGTCCCTCCTCCTCGTCGGTCCCCCTCCCTCCCACTCTCTCTCTCTCTCTCTTTCTCTCTCTCGCTCGCGCGAATTCGATTGGTTCGGGGTATTACTCCGCGTCGTTAACACGACGTTATGCATTCGCTCAAAATGAGCGGAGAAGCGCGTCGGCTCGTGCCCCGTCCCTGTTGGGATCGGGCCCACGGGCACGGCTGAATAGAGAGATCGCGAGAAAGAGAAATGGAGACACGGGGTTTATCCCGGTTCATCGTTGAATCGAGGGTATAATCCAGCGGGAGGCGAGATTTCCATTATAATTAGCACTTCCCGTCTCTCCTAATTATAAGAGAAATAGATTATATACACTCGGTAGCTATTCATGGCCCAAAACCCAAACTACCAATAAAATACAGGCACAAATTTTGATCGCGAGACCCCCCCTAGCGCCTTCTCGCCGATGGGGAGTGCGAACCACATCCCAATAGTGTTTCGAGTTGGAATCGCGTCTTCCGTCGGGTTCGGGTCTCATCTCGATGAATTCGCGTCGCGCTCGGGTCGTGCGCCGAGAAACACGACCCCCGTCCGATGGGTGCAGGCAGGCGCGAAATACCGCTAAGCTCGGTGGAAAATCAATCGAATCCGGGGGCATGTGGAATCGAGATTTACGGGATAAATTTATGTTTCGTAATGGGTGTGGGGGAGGGGTTGTTTCTTCCTTTATGCTTTTCATCTTTGTTTTGTTTTTCTTTCTTAATCATTGTTTTTTTTAAAATATTAAAAAAAAAAATTTTGGGGGGGGCGGGATGGGGGGAGCCAATTAGGCCTTTTTTTTGTTTTTGGTGATGGCGAAGGAGGGGGAGGGGGGGGGGGGGAATGTTTTTGCCAGTTGCGATGCCCCCACCCCTTTTTGGGCCCCATCTCGGTCCAATCGAAGCCCCGATCGGTGGGCCCGCCCTGTCCGGGCCGGCTCCACGCACGCACATCGAGGATCAGTGGGAGGTTGGGTTTGGGGAAAATAAAATAAAAAAATAAATAAAAAAAAGAAAAAGAAAAGAGAGAGAGAGAGAGAGAGAAAAATCGTTGCGTGAATCGGTGGGCTGCACACGTGGCGCCGCCTCGTGGACCGGTGCGGTTGAAGTGGAGGGGAGGTGGGCCCCGCGCCCCGCGGACAACATTTGGCGGAAAAAAGGAACAGGTCCGAAGCGACACATTTTCGCGTCGTTGCTGCCTCCCATCGATTTTTTTATATTTTATTTTATAATTTTCTTTTCCTCGAATTATTCTTTATTTTTTTTTTCTTTTTTGGGGGGTGCTTGGGGCTCCTCCAGTTCGACTTTGCTTGAATGGCACACTTTGCTGCGATTGGGGAGGGGGGGGACACAAACGCTCTGTTTTCCACATGATTTCACTTCTCGTGCTCTCCTGCTCTGTTCTCTCTCTCTCTCTCTCTCTCTGTTGTTTTCACCACCGCGAAGCCAAAAGCCCTTTCCAACCCCCCACGCAGCAAAAATTGGGAATAAAAGAATCGCCCCTGTTGTCGCTCGCGTTGGGCAAGGGGTGTTGCCGAAGCAAGCAAAAAAAACAAGAAGAAGAAACAGAGTCGTTTCCCCTGTTTTCTCCTCTTTTCCGTTTCTCCTCTGTTCCTTTCTTTGCCATTTGGAGTAGCCCCGCCTCGCCTCGCCTCCGCGGCGAAGAATATCCGTTACTGTCGACGCGGCATTCTTCGGGTCGAAGTATTGCTTTTGCGGGTATCGGAGAATTTCCCGTTTGGAGAGTATCGTTGGAGGCGTTATTGGATGTTAGGGGTTTTTGTTTGATATCTCGTCGTTTCCTAGGATCTCTGGTTTTTCCTCGTTAGATTCAGATGGCTAATCTCCTTGTTACCGTTAGATTATCGAGCGAAGATATATTGCTATCGAGTATTTCCTATGATCCTACAATATTTATATGATATCAGAGCCACTAATAACCGGGAGAGAGATCCAAATTGACTTTATTTTTCTCCTTATCATTGATCTTAAAAAAAAAAAAAAACAAAAATGATACCCTCGTCTTTGCCATCTTTCGTCCCTATCGCGACACAAAGATTGGCGCAATTCATTTACAAGTCCTTCATTTTTCTTCTGCCGATCTTCGTTCTCGAGAGCAGCCGCAACCAATTATCTTCGAGAATAGTGCCATCATCCTCTACTTGTTGCGGTCTCGAATTTGCTCAGGTTGTTTATGAGAGCAGCTGATCTCTCCGTCGTCGTTAGTGCCAACTCATTATTACAAGTTAATGTTATGCCTTCTAGCGTTCTAGCGTTAAGGTGAAGATCTAGAGCACTCATGTTGAGCCTTTTCATCCATTGGTTTAACAAAAGATGGGTCTAATGGGTGTGAGACACACTAGCCTTGGGTGACAACTTGGTGGATAATATAGATCAAATGCAGCGTGATTGAGAACGACTGATTATGCACCGAGAGGACATCATGGAATTACCAACCAAGGCAATCGCGTATCCAATACTATACCCAGTTAAAATGGCAGCAACACCAAACAGAAAGTTGACCGCGCTTTTGACATTAATGGGCGAGTACAAAAGTTGTCGCAAGATAATTGCAAAAACGCCTCCCAGCAAAGAAACAAAGAAAGAAAGAGGAAAAGAAAATGGGCAAATCGAAAGGACACATGCCATGACGTTGGCTCAGGGACGATCATTATGTCATGGACTAGTGAAGCAGAATGATTGTATACTACCTGCATGACGGAACTGCATTGACTTTTGCTGCTCTCCTTTCCTCTCTCTCTCTTCTGTCTTTATCTTTTTGGTTTTTTTTTTTACCTCGTGATCATGAAATTTTTCGCCACTCTCTTTTGTCCTGGGCAACAACCTCCTCACCACTCGCTCCGGTAGATGGATGGAAAGATAAAAACTTATCCGTGAAAAGGAAAAAACGCACAGATTTGAAACATTGCAAATGGTGGCATTAATCAGTTTAATATGATAAGGTAATCCTAATTCAGGTGGCAGCAAAAAGTGGGTCTGGGGTTGATTAGGAAAAATCATGTGCATGTGAGTGGGAATGATCACGTAGGGATGAAGAGTTGATACGAGGGAAAGGACCACATTTGCACCCTTTGAGCATTCGACAAGTCTGGAACATGTCATGGTTTTGATTCGCTGGTTCCAACATTCATGGAAAAAGCAGGACTGCGATTTGGTGTCATTACTTCGATTCGGTGCGTTTGGTTCGGGCCATAATACTCTGGTCTGGACTACTGTGTGTGTATATTTCGGGCCAAGAAGAAAGAAGTAAGGACGAAAAGATTGGCTTCCATTCAACTCGGCGAGAAAGATAAAGATGGAAATGAAGGATTAAATGATGTGCACGCGTGTGCGGATAACCCTAGGGAAGTAAATCGATTGAAAGGACAATTTGCACGTTACACACCCAGCGGGTTGGTGGAAGTCGTGGTTCTCGGTCCGGACATTCATGGAAAGCAGGGCGCGCGCGTTGTGAGAACGCAGCATATGTTAGGTTTTTGTCGTTTTAAACCATAGGGAAATTGAAAATGATGGGGTCTAATTATGTTCAACGTGCGCGTGCGCGTGCGGTAGTAATAATTTAGGTGCCTTGAGGATTTTGATTGAAGAAAACAAGCGGCCAAAAAGAGAATGTAGCTCAGGCTGTGTAGTGTTAATGAAGCATGGCGCTGAGCGAGTCTTCTTTAGATTAGTCTCTCTGACTATTTGCCATAAAACTGCTTTGGATCACTAGGTGGGTAGCATTGCTAGCTTTTTACCATCCCTTAACGAAGACGATGGATTCTAATTTAGACAATAATATACGTGGATTAAGCTTTTGGTGATACGACGATCAAAGCAAAATCTCCAACCCATTGCTTTCACAACATCTCCGACTATCCCTTTGAAGCAACGGTTCCATCATCAAGACTTAAGAGGCATGAAGATCGAGGACTATATATTAATGGCGCGAAGACTACAGAAGTATAGACAAAGTTCCATGCATTAAACATCGCAACCGCGACCGGACAACATGGCACGGTGCGAAAGAGATCAACATCAAACCAAAGTTGCATTGCACCGTGTGCCACTGCCCGGCGATATGCTGACCGATGGAAGTTCGGCTTTTTCCCAGTGCGCCAGCCAATCGCCCATGCTTTGTTAGCTCGAGAGACGTGGGGAAGACGGGATGCACATTTCATCAACTCAGCACAAGCAGCAAAGATGTGCCGACCAAAGTCAAATTACAAACCGAAGCTAATAACTTTCACCGACTGTAGCTCTTAACAAGGGACTAGGTAGGAAAAAATACGAGAGAGAGAGAGAGAGAGAGAGAGGAGGCAGGAGGGAGGGGCAATCTTATAACAAGAAGAGAACAGAAGACATAAGCCAAACCTAAGGCTGTCCAAAGCCATAACGCTATTTCCTAGACTCACACTTTTCCAAAACCGCCATTATATTTTAAGTTTATCTATGCTCTCTACTACTGCCGATTCTTCTTGCAGGGTGCTTTTCTCGGGATTCTTGGCTCCTACTTCAGGGGCGGACTGATTCGGTGGCGTCGAAGGAACAAAGGCCAGAGGTTCCTCTTTTGGGACCGGGTGTACATCTTCCTTCCGAGCCGGTGGAGCAGCAAACACTGGCACAGCTTGCCTGACAGACACGGGAGGGGCAATCCGCACTGGTGGGGCCTGCATTACTGAGGTGCCGATCCTAGCAGGTGGTGGACGAGGCGGAGCAGAGAACACAGGCATGGCATTTCTTATTGTCACAGGTGGTGCCATGCCCCTGCAAGATGCCCTAAATTGGCTGATCGGTACATAAGGAGACGCCCCTGCTGCAGGGAACTTCTGAGGTCGGCTCCCATGGCATTCCAGAGACGGAGAATATCGTGGCGGCACAACATTGTCCTTTGCAGGTGATGATGGTCTGCTACGAGGGACCATCGTCTTTGGGCAAATCAAAGGCAGGATCTTTGATGTGCTTGGTGGTTGCGGCTGTGGGCTGGTTGGTCTAGCGTTTTGAGTCGTGAACTTTTTTGGGAATGGTATTGAGCCACCAGGAGAGTTGCCCAATGCTATCTTCTCCTTCAAACGATAATTTATTAAGGCTCGTGCCACCGTTATCTGTTCAAGCTCATCACTGTTATCTGCTTCAGGCGAGCTTGCTGATTCCTTTGCCACTGTCAGAAAAGAACGTGTCACCACACAAGAAACATTTCTAGTCCCGCATGACATTATATTAAGATGCATTGACGAGTTCTAGCTTTGCATATGTTTGGCTGATGTGAAATAATATAAACTTATGCTAAACAGAATCCAACGAGTCATCATAGACCCAATTGTCCTACCTTTCTTTCGATTTTTCGTTCTCTATCATTAAGAGTTCAGATAGGTGAAGGGGGAGTAGGGAGGGGACGCTGAAGATAAATGTCCTAGCCTTTTCCCCTAGAAGAGAGGCCACTCCTCAAACTTTCTTTTGGGTTGACTTTGATCAAACAGAACACAAACTCACATTGTTTCAGAGATGACCACGCTGCCATAGCAGCATTCTTTTCCGCTTGTTTCTTATTCTTGGCAGGCTCGCCAGTGAAAATGATCCCAGCTAATTCTACTGTCCCTGTGAAAACAGGTTGGTGACCAAGCCCATATCTGAAAGTCGTATATTGAGGCAATGGGGCTCCAACTCTCTGTGAGATCTCCTGCAAGAGGTTCTTGTATATTCCCGTCTCATCCTGAAGTCAGTGCAGCAAGATTAGTAAAGAACAAGAAAAGCTAAACCAAGTAATAAACGTTTTCAGGTATGCCCGGCAGGCATTGTGGCGTGACACCAAAAAATACGCGGGCCAATTATTTGTTTCGGTACTAAATATCGCATGATTCAATTTTCCCTTCTAAATCAAGTTTTAATTCTTGAGAATACAACAGAAATGCAGGCAGACACACAACATCAGCAATCAATTTGCTAAGATCCAAGCTTTCCTATGGTATCAAAAGTCAGCCGCATATTTACCACTTCAGTCCAGAAGGAGCTGCAAGTGCTATACAACAGGTCTGCAATCCCAAATTTCAACATAAAGCCCATTATACACCACAATTATAGACAATTCAATGCAGTTAATACCATCAGAATCAGCAAAAACAAACAACAACTGACATGGCTCGCATAGCGAGAGATACGTTAACAACAAAGGCAAAAGGCCAAACCGGAAACTCTATCGCAGTGAAATTGTTGCTGACACCAGAAAAGTTGTCACATGATAAGTAGAACAAAGAACATTAAGTAACAAATCTAAATTCAACAGACGAAAAACCTAGTCCGGTGAGCAAGACCATGGTAAGAAGGGGAAGGTTCGATCAACATCGCTGGACACAAGGTGCTCCTCGTCTAATCAATCAGTAACAGGCCACTCCGATTAAACTATTATAACTTTCTACCATCCTCACATCGAGCTGATTTTTCCGGAAGACCTCCCCCAAATTACCGTCACCCCAGTAAAGTTCAACCACCCAGTTAAGCTTGGATCTGTGTGGTTCCTTTACACCTAGGAAATCGTCATCTCCTATCTCGAATAAAGTAGGGCATAGTGGACGACGCATGATGACTAGCGACTATGATGCCCCGATTCTTGACTGAAAGGACTCCAAAAAAGTCTTTCCTTTCCATCCGTTGGATAGCTAAGAGAGATCATCAAAAGGCATTTCTTAACGGTATCTCCACGCACTTGTCAAGCACTACTACAGGAAGAAACATTGTATTTTCATGATGTTTCAAATGTGCAAAGTCAATAATATAGAGATTATAAGAGAACTGGATGCACAAAAACGACAGTTATATTTTCCTAGCATGTTCATTGTAGTTAAAAAGTGTCTAGGAGCACCCATTAACATTTTCATTATCGTAGAAAGAGCATAAAATTGCTGTTCATACGAAGGAATAAATTTTCTTTTAATTCATATACTGGTCAAAGTTCATAATCTTCCAACAAAGGATTTTACAGCTTCAGCATAAAGACGATCTTCAATTGCTTTGGAAGTTATAGTCCATTGGCACTAATAAATTTTTTTTTTTGAGAGACAGAGTTTAATAGTTGTAGAAAGCAAGATGCCAACCTTGACAGACAAATTAACATATTGCATAGAAAAGGCACCTACAATTCCATCGATTAATTACAGCAGAGCAAAATAGAATGTTGGCTAAATTGTCTTGCATAAAATTTCAACGCCACTTTCGAAACCATGAAGTAAGCGTAGACCTTGATCAAGAATCTTGTAGAGGAGAGGCAAGATGAACACAGCAGATGATAAAGCGAAGCATGTAGTGAACTTGCATGATTAATAGCCATGGACGCCCATATTATGTGCAATCACGCAAATACAAAAAAAGATGAACGATCCAATATAATCATAGATACTAAAGCAACAATGAAAAGGTTGCCTATAATCATAAAGGGAAGTCATCTTCTGATGTCCACCTGCATTGAAACACGACTGAGGCCTTTGCTAAAGACAGCATCATGATCTTAAAGCGGATTGCCGCATAGAGCAAGCACGAGCTCATGACATTCTTTGATTTTGTTTTCAGTAAGCCTTCAATCGGTACTGCTGAATTAGAAGTTCTGAGAAGGGAGATTGTTTCAGCTTTAATTGCATAAACTGGAGACGCCGTGGCTGGCTGAAAAGCATGGACCAGAGCACCGAGGCTATTTGGGTACTGTAAAGTTCCCCTACCTATGGCAGAAGATTACTTCGCAGGATTACGTCAAAAAGAACCGTGCGAAAAATTAGTCCCATCCATTCACTCACTGTCATGACACCCTTAGAGCTCTCAATCATGGGAAGTAACAGTCTCCTCTAGCATCCCACAAAGACCCCACTAATTTCCAGTTAGAAATGAAGACACGAGCTTCCGTACCTTCGAGGTCGACACTACAATGTATGTCGCGCATAACCAGTTGCTACATTTTTTTTTTTTAAATCAAAATCGCCCGAGATGACCGAGAATTCCGGAAACTCTTCCCGCATCACCGGATTTCAACTCCCATTCGACCTATGCAGACCCGAACCGACAGGGGAATCGAAGCGACCGAGCAACCAACAACATGGGACGAATGCTAGCAACAGCAATCCACAGCAATCAGGCAGAACAAAAGACAAGCCGATCGGCTGAAGAAAGACAAATGGGGAACGAGAGCCCGCCGCACCGAAGGGGGGGGGGGCAAAAAAAAAAGCGCGACATTCACCGCCAATCACAGAATCCGATCCCGGAGAATCTCCGATCAAAGGGGGAGGGGGAGAGTCGAGAGATGGAGAAAGGGGGGGGGGGGGGAAGCTCACCAGGATACGGGCGGCGAGGGAGTGGGAAGGACCGCGAGAGGAGAGGGAGTGGAGAGCGACCTCGGCGGCGGAGTGCTCGGCCTGGCGGAGGGTGGAGCAGTAGCCGGGGCTCTCGAAGACCTCGCCGTTGAAGTTGACGGCCGCCTTGAAGCGAGGGGCGTGGTCGGGGCCCTCCCGGATGCAGGTGTAGGAAGGCAGGTTGAAGCAGCTCCTCTGCGCCAGCTCCTGCAGCTGGTTCTTATACATTTCGCCCCCCCCCCCCCCCCCCTCCCCTCCCCCTCTATCTCCCCCTCACAACCACCAAACCAAACCAAACCAACCACCGGCTCCCTCCCTCCCTCCCCCTGGGGGGGCTCGCCGGACGGGAGCGAGATCACAGCGGCCTCGGCGGCGGCGGCCGCCGCATCATGCTAAGAAGGGGAGGCGGGGCCGGATCGGGAGGCGCGGGGGCGGCGGTCGACGGAGGGGGGGAGGGATCGCCGTAGTTAGGGCCAGGGGGGGTGGGAGGGAGGGGGAGCTAGAGAGAGAGAGAGAGAGAGAGAGAGAGGGGGAGTGGGGATTGGTGGTGCGGGAGGGTATTAAAGAGGGGGAGTGGGGGGGAGTAAATTGAGTTGCTTTTTTTGGGTGGGGGAGTCAACTGAAGCGTTATGGCCTCCTTTTGCATGGACGTGATCTTTCTCTAGATTTCCCCCCACCCCCAACCCCCCCACCCCCAACCCAACCCAACCTTTATTCATTTTTCATTTTTTCTTTGTTTCATTTAATTCTCCCGATTTTTATATTGTATTATTTCTTTTTTCTTTTTTTTCTTCTTTTTGGGTGAGCGGGGGCGCTGTGGTTCCGTGTTTTTAATGCTGGGCGTTGAGCGTCCGTATCGCGAGGCGCGGTTCTAAATAAATCATCGCGGCCCGATTTAATTGATTAAATTGTCATTAATTGCGCCTTGATTTGGCCCCCGGGGTTAATGTTTTTTCGGATGGGAGATTAGAAAGGGAGCTGAGGTTCGCTTTGGTCAACCGCCTAATCGGTTTCGAAGGAAAAATAAAAGAAATTTCGGTGCGCTTCGGAGCTTTTAGAGAAAAGATTGGACCCGACGCGAATTTGCGCCGTTTTTAGTGTTTTAATTGTGCATTTGCGGGTGGTTATTATTCTCTTGACCAATTAAGTCGCCCCTAAATTATATATATATATATATATATATATATATATGTGTGTGTGTGTGTGTGTACGTATGTATGTATGTGCTTGTGTGTGTTAAAAGTGAATGGGTTGTGGGGACAATTACCAAAAAAAAATCGTAAACCTATTAGATTTGTTCCAATTGAAGTCTTAGATATTTTAATCGTGTCAATTTAGTCCTAAATATTTTCACATTTTTGTCAATTTAGTGCATCCGATCAATCTTGGACGGAAATTGCTGAAGTGGACGCCAGCAGTCCAACGTGGCACAAACTGACTTTTATATTTTTTTAATAATATATTTGTTTGTTTTTTTGTTCTTTCTTTTCTTTTCTTCTCTTCTCTTAACATTTTTTTTAAGGGGGGAGGGGGAGGGAGGGCTAAAGGCTATGACGCTCTCGACAAATCCGGGCCAGGTGAGGGCGTTGTGGCCTCGCCGACCTTGAGTGAGGTTGTGACACCCATATCAGGCGAGGGTGTTACGGCCTTGCCCCATGCCAATATGGTCAACTGACAACCCTTGCGAGCTCTCAACCCCCAAAAAAAAAAAGTAAAGAGAGAAAAAGGAAAAAATTCAATATATTATTAAAATAATTATTTTAAAAAAATGTCCATGTCGCCATCGATTGCGTCGCGTAAGACGGCTGACGTTCACATCAGTGATTTTCAGTCAAAATTAGTCAAATGTACTCAATTGGCGAAACATGAAAAGATTTAGCACTGAATTAACATAAATGCAGGTGATTTGTGACTTTTTTTATAATTGCCCCACGCGTCGTGCTTAGTGAAAAAGCAAGTGGCATGGTCCGACATCTTTTTATGCTTTTAATATGCCGACTTTTGGAGACATTCTTAATCTTCTTTAGCGAAATGTTTAAAGACTATCCTTTGATAATTTGGCCCCAGTATATGTACGATATGTTGTTGGCATTTAACTATGGAATTCTCAAGTACTTGTAAAACATTAGTACATTTTAACCAAAAAATTTGATCAATTGAGTATATTCAATTTTTCTGAGTGAGTTAGATTTATTCGCACGATCTAAGCAACTCCATTTTAATTCAGTTTCTTTTAACCCCATTTTCCAATAGCAATATAAAAATGGAGTAAAAATTAACGAACACCGACTTTAAACAAGAGTATCGACGCGCTGCCTAATTATTTACCCTTGGCGTATATCACACGTATTTTAGATATATGAGTATTTATATTTTCATCTGTGTAACAAACTCTTGTGCACAGTTCAACTCTGGTGTAATTGCTAATCCAAACAATCGAAAGCAAGTCAAATCCACTGTGCCAACCTAACGATAAGGACTTCGATCATCATTTCTCATTAATTTATCACCTAACTCGTGGCCCATGTTTTTCCACGGGAACAAAAACAGTTTAACAAATCATTCTCATCAAAGAACTTATACTTACAATATTATCATTATAACGGTGGATCCAAGCCGCTATAATCACGAGTTTTAACAAATCGCGTGGAATAATCACGAATAAGCCGGATCGTTTTCCCCAAAAAAAAAAAAGGGCGTTTCCAAAGTTCTATTACGATCAACTGCAAGGGGACAAGACAATCGTCGCGACTCAATAGACGAGTCGAATGCTCCGAGACGACCTGTAACGTTGCGCTGATAAGTTCTAACCTCCCTTCGCGCATCCACGACTTTAACTTTCTATATTGATAGCAACCAGTCACATGAAAAAATCCACTCTAAATTACGTAAAATTAAATGTACATAACATATTATATATATATATATACATACATATATTTATATATTATATATGTATAATGGAAGTTAATTAGATTAAGATGTGGACTTGGGGGGTAATGCAAAAACTGTGGTGGCCTCCACGCGCACTCTTTTTTTTTGTTTTTTCCCTCCCACCTAATGATAATACCCCCAACTCAAAGCACCGCGGATTCTCCACCACGGAGGCGTCGAATTACGAAAACGACCCCGGGGGCCAGTACCGTTGGTCGGGGGAGAATTGCTTGTGTTTCCAAAGGGCAGGGTCGTCAATAGCACCGGACTTTAATGCTCAGCGGGGGGACAAGGTCAGTGGGAAACAAAGCTCTTTTGTTTTTTGCCCCTTTAGAAATCTCCGAAATTGGCGAAAGCTTTGACCGGTTGGAAAATTTGATAGAAAATTCCCACTCAAAGGTCACCTCTATGTCTGGGACGCCCCCCGCATCCACAAAAAAACAATCTTAAATTATGATCACCTCGACATATTTAGTCTAAATTTTTTTTCACGACACCAAAAAGCTCATATTTATACATGTGTGATATATTTACTTTCCATTAAACTTCTATCAATGAGAACTATTACATTGACACCAGAAAGCAAACAGTGTTGGCGGCACGTAGCTTAAGCAAAATAAAAACGACGTTGTTTTGGCTGAAAAATCATATAACGGAATCTTGACGGAGAGTAAATGTGTCACGTAGGTACGGGTTTGGGATTTTTCATGTCACGAGAAAAAGTTTAGGGTAAATGTGTCACAATGGACGTAATTTGGAATTTTTTATGTCACAAAATAAATTAAACAGTGAATTTAGTTTGGGGCTTTTTGTGACTTGTTCCCTTTTCGATCTCCTTTTTAAATATTGTCTTTTTCAAAATCGAAGCAATCGAAATGGAAATTTTGTTTAAGATTGAAAGCCTCGAATTTTCAGAATTATAAAAGAAAGTTTGAGATCTTTCACAAGCATCCTCAGTATACTTCTTACTATGTAATCGGGAAAATGACATAAATGATCACTGAATTTTGATCTAATGCGTTACGCCACCCTAGGCTTTTTAATTGATTCAATGTGATGCCCGAACTTTGTTTCAATGTGCAATATCGTTCTTAAATGTGGTCCTCGAACTTCGATCCAATATTTAACGAGACTCCTAACTTTTAAACACTTTCATATAATTAAGCGACTACATTGAACATTTAGCTAATTGCTCATGAATCATATTGAACAGATTAAAAATCTAGTAATAATATTTCACATTGGGCCAAAGTTTAAAAATGGTTTGTGCTATTATCCTTATTTTGCTTTTTCAAGCATATAAATGAAGAGGGGTCATAAAAGAAATCGATGTTCATTCGATTCAATGCAATATTAAATGGTTTTGAAGCCCTCATGAAAGCTAGCCCCCACTCGGCGCGGCCAGTGGAGTAATTGAGCTTGTCTGTCTGGCCATTAGAAGTGGGGGAGAAAAATTCCTTTCGCGAAAGGGAAAGGCGAAATTTTGATTATTAATCGCAATTAAATCCCGAAAATTTATATATAAAAAAAAGCAGTAACGGACAATGGCATTTTCTTATCAAACAACTAGCATTCAAATAGGAACAAGTAATCAGTATCCATAAAATTAAGAGTTTTATCATAAGCTGTTAGATCATATTGAGGAGCAGATTGTCAATGTCGACGTATCGGGTGTGGACACCCCGCCCAAGTAGCAATTTCAAGGGGCTCCAGGAGCTCCGAAGGAAAATGTAGATATATCGGTATCGACCGCTATAGAACCAAAAACGTTCACTGCTATAGAAACGAACCTTACACAAAAATTGGGATAACTTTTGGACGCTCTCGACCTATTTCCCTGGACATTATTTTCTATGTCTAAAAGAGGAAGAGGAAACGAAAAGAGGGGTACAAAGCCAGTATTGCTCCCCCGAGGGGAAAAAATTGTGGGATCTCGTTAAATTACGTAAAAACTAAAGAGGAAAAAATGGTAAAAAAAGAAGACAAATAAACCTCTACAGGCAGTGTTACATAGCAGGCGATACATCACCACGAGAAAGGGCTTGCTCCCAGCAAAAAGATCTCGTTCTCCACATCTTTCACCCACTGACATACGCGATTGCAAGTCTTTATTGCCGACGCCTATAAATTTAAAATCAGTCAAATTCAACGAGAACATCCTACGTGAAGAGAAGCAAATATATGCAACTAAGCATGCCTGCATGAATGCTCATGTGTCACACACACACACACACACACACACACAGTCTACGAGATTAGAAATACTAAAGTCTTATCTTATCGAGAAAGCCCATATAAGTTCAAGAGAGGAGATCAATAATGACCCTAAAATCTGG